CATTGATTGTGCCCGACCTGGGGAAGAGATTGTAAAATTCTAATATTATGGACTTCATTGTTTCACTGCAACTTGATGTTATGCTCCTTAATTTTAACTTGCATTACCTTTTTCTTTTCCCAAATTCAGGAGGTGACAGGCATATATACAAACAATTTCGACTTATCTTTGAACACAAAGAATGGTTTTCCTGTCTTTGCCACTGTAATCGAAGCAAATTATGTAACAAAGAAGCAGGACCTCTTTTCAGCTTACAAGCTTACCCAGGAGGACAAAGAAGAAATTGAGAAGTTGGCCAAAGACCCAAGGATAGGAGAACGAGTAGGTTTCAGAACCTATAATCATACTCTTGTTATGTTGGACATGAAACAAAATTTCACATTAAATAGTCTCAATTGTTATCAGGATAACAAGGTCTCTTGTCATGAAATTTTTTCACACTTCTTCATTGCAAACATTTCAGATTATTAAGTCCATGGCCCCATCAATCTATGGTCACGAGGACATAAAGACTGCAATAGCTCTAGCAATGTTTGGAGGCCAGGAGAAAAATGTGGAGGGGAAACACCGATTACGTGGAGACATAAATGTACTCCTGATGGGTGATCCAGGCACTGCCAAGTCCCAGTTCCTCAAGTAAGAGTTATTCCAGAATGACTTGCTTTATCAGACCATTCAGTTGTGTAATGGCCACGTAAAATTCTATTAGGTATGTTGAAAAGACAGGACAAAGGGCTGTTTATACAACTGGAAAAGGGGCCTCTGCTGTAGGCCTCACAGCAGCAGTGCATAAGGACCCGGTCACACGAGAGTGGACCCTTGAAGGAGGGGCACTTGTTCTGGCCGATAGAGGGATATGTCTTATTGATGAGTTCGATAAAATGAATGATCAGGACAGGTAAGCGATTGTGTGTTGAATAGATGTCTGCTGGAGTTTTCCTACATTCTCTTTTTAAGATATCTCAACATTCCAGGGTAAGCATTCATGAAGCAATGGAACAGCAGAGCATTAGCATTTCGAAGGCTGGGATTGTCACTTCTCTCCAGGCCCGCTGTTCTGTCATTGCTGCAGCAAATCCTATTGGAGGAAGGTATTAGAGAAGTTAAAATTCAATTTAGCAAGAAAGTATAACTCAGGTCATTTTGCAATGCAAACAAGAGTTGCTACTTGGTCCAAACGGTTGGCGACCTTATGGACGAGCATAAGTTCTCAAGTGCCTCGTTTCAGTGTAGATGGATATCTAAGCCATCCTTCTTCATAGCCTATTTTAATAGTCTGTTTGTCACCTCTGGCCCTTGGTTACATACAACTAGCTTTCAATTTCATAATGCCAGATTGAATCACCTGCATATATGTGATTAAGCCCTTGTTTGAGACCCATTTTTCCATCAAAATGCATTCTTCAACAGTGATTTGACACCATTTCAACTACCAATTCTTCAACAAAATAATATTACACTCAAACCCAAAACTTTGCTTTATTTTTTAGCTACACATTCTCCATCATAACACTATTTCAAAATGCATTTTTTTGAGAAAAAATGGAGCTCAAACAACCCCTAATTATAGTTTCTTGTTATGGAAAGAATTATCATGTAATTAGGATGGTCGAAAGCCCTACACTTAGCATTCAATAGATGTAAAATCCTGTTTTCTATGTGCTGCAGACCAAGGCTTCATATTTCACCATTCTTGATAGTGTTTTTCTAATTGACTTTGTTATTTGAACTACTACATTTTTCTCTGCAGATATGATTCCTCAAAGACATTTTCTCAAAATGTGGAGTTGACAGATCCCATCATTTCTCGCTTTGATATTCTCTGCATTGTCAAGGTTTCCTTCAGGATATTTTATCAATTTATCTATTCTTGTAATCTTTCTTTCTAAGAAGTTTTGTAAAAGGGAAGTTTGATCACATACAGGATGTTGTTGACCCAGTCATTGATGAGATGCTGGCGAAGTTCGTAGTTGATAGTCATTTCAAATCACAACCTAAAGGCACTAATTTGGACGACAGGTCGGTGGCCAATTCTCAAGATGATTTTCAATCGCCCACTACACAAGCTGATCCTGAGGTCTTAACCTGAAACTCGATACTTCCACTTCATCAAAAAATTTCTTTACATGTATATCTAGTTCCAAAATATGTTTCTTGTTTACAGATAATTCCTCAAGAATTGCTAAAGAAGTACATAACATATGCCAAGCTGAATGTATTTCCGAGGTTGCATGATGCAGATTTAGACAAGCTCACTCAAGTTTACGCTGAATTAAGGAGAGAATCTTCGGTGAGGTTCTACTTGATATACATGCTTTTCCTTCACTACAAAAAGCTACTGATAGTTCTATGAACTAATTAATGATTCATGCTTTTTCTGTTTTATGTACTTGTATAGCATGGGCAAGGAGTTCCAATTGCAGTGAGGCACATAGAGTCAATGATAAGGATGTCGGAAGCCCATGCAAGAATGCATCTCAAACAGCATGTCACTCAAGAGGACGTGGACATGGCTATTCGCGTTCTGCTGGACTCATTCATTTCAACCCAAAAATTCGGTGTGCAAAAAGCTTTGCAAAAGGTATCTATGGACCCAGCAGTTGGTACAATTTTTTTTTTTTTTTTTAATTGATTGAAATCTTTACTTTATATTGTTCTAGATGCTATCTCATTGAACTATAACCCAAAAAAAATAGTTTAGGCCAGTTTCATTTGCTCAGCCCATTCCAGATTATTTCTACTTTGCCAAACTCCACTGTCTGGAGTTCTCAGAGATCATACTAATCTGCTTGGGCTCATATTTGCTTGTTAATGTCGTATTTTTCCACTTCAACAGTATAATATCTTAGTGTATATTGGTGTTTATAAATTTGTATCTTGATGATGTGTTTTTCTTCAGAGCTTCAAAAAATATATGATATTCAAAAAGGATTTCAATGCTATTGTTTTGCACCTTCTGCGTGGACTTGTGAAGGATGCATTGCACTTTGAAGAAATTGTGTCCGGTTCTACTGCAAATCTCACTCACATTGATGTAAAAGTGGAAGAACTGCTAAGCAAGGTACAGTTGATTTAGTTTCCTCTACTTAAAAAAAAAATAATCGTACATGCACTGCTTCCATTGACCTTTGTTACTTTCACTGAGTCTTAGATTCACATGAGTATTGGCTGATTGAGCTAGATGACATTCTACTGCAGGCTCTTGATTATGGGATCACTGATCTGAGGCCGTTCTTTAATAGTACAGAGTTTGCTAGAGCTAACTTCGTGTTGGACGAGGGACGGGGTACAATTAGGCATCGCCTTGCACACTGATGGATTGGCGTTGAGGGTATTAGAATGTAGATACAAACTTGCGAAAGTATCAATAGACTTTCATTCCGGTAATTTATAGAGTGCCAAGAACAACAGTATGGTAAAATACTTTGATTTCTATTGCTTTAGTTAGTATTGAAGCCATTAAGTTTGTTATGTAATTTGTTATTTTCTCTATGGATAAAGCTTGGTATACATAATTTTATTTACATAAGGGTGTTCATGCATTTACATGGGGGCCATGTGGGGCCCACTCTAGTGGCTCCCACATCTAGATAAATGTATGGACATCCTTGTGTATATAAAATTATGTACACCAAGCAGAATTCAAGTTATAAGAAAGAGAGTGAAGGCAGAGTAAATTGGGCAACAAGGCTGATTGAGTTGAAGTAAATGTTGAAAATAATCAAGTAAATACACTCAGCAAACAAAGAAAATAGTTGAAGAAGTGCAGATTCCAAAATACTATCACTTGGGAACTTTAGATACAAAATCTTAGTAGATCCAAGTCAAACTTCACCTAATATTTTTCAGACTCGACCAAATATATATTCAAAAAGTTCACTAGATCTTAATTACGCTGAGTCACAAATTTGTTTAAATTGCACAAAATAAGTTGAAACTGTTTGCTTGGTATAAGGAGGCGAGTATTTCTGCATTTCACAGGGAATCAAGAATTAGGCCATACCCATAAGCCAAACGGATTTATATTTTCAATTACCAAATTAAAACTTATAAAATCCAGGCAGAATTACTTCCCACTAAACCGAGATGAATAGCTTGCCAAACAATTTAAATACATTCATAATATCTTAAGTGACTGAAAGTCATAACGACTTCTATTATAATTAGAAAGAAACACCTAAAACGAAATTCTCAGAATTTACTGTCATGTAAAACCTTCTCTTTTCTTCCCCTGGGCTTGAGCACATGGATCCTCATTTGCCACTTCTTTTCGTTCCAATGGCACAATCCCGAAACGTCCAAACGAGAAAAGCGTGCATCTACCAATGTATCCATAAAAATATCAATACATGGCTGCAATCAATTCCATTTTTAGAAGTTCGAACTAGGTCAACACGGGTGGAAGATCTAGGTTAGCATCTGAGATTTTTTTCCATGTAGAAGATTTATTACAATAGGAAAGTCGATGGTTTTAATGGTTTTATCAACCAGAACACTTAGAGAGAAGAATACCCATGATAAAAATTTGAATGAAGGATACCTCAGAATCATATATTCTCTGATGAACCCTGTTATGTATACGAAGGAGTTCACAGAACCCCTCCAAAATGCACACAGTAGGTGAGGGGTGATTTTTTATTATTATTTTTTGTGCACTATTTTATTCACATGGGATCCACCCCCATGTGAGTGTTCTATATTGTTTTGATGAAACCATTTTTGTATAAATGGAAAACTGTTCTCTGATAATATACCAAAGTTTCACTTGTGTCCACCCGCTTTTACATGCATTTGTAAGTATGCTTTACCGAGAAACACATTTTAACTAAGGTACTATAACTACTAAAAATGTTACATTTACACTCTCCACATCAGATTTCGATCTTATATCACAAAGTGTACTGATCATCCCAAGTAATCAAGAATTCTTCATCTTTGTTTGTCCATGTGCTACACATCGATGGCATGCATAGAGAGAGAGGGGAAAAAAAAAAAAAAGGTTGAAATACTGTATATTTTATTGTGTGGAATTTTATTTGGAGAAAGATGTATATAATCTTTTCCATATATCTTAACCTTTTCTTACATATTGTTGTGCAGAACTCAAGAAAACTATTGTGTATGTTCATCTCTGAAAAATGATTCAGTAAGGAACTAACATTTTCTCATAGTTATGCAATTATACTAAATGAAAAATATGAACTCTTTTGAGTATTACACAATGTTAACTGTTTCTTCTTCACTGAGTCCTCTCTGTTCAATCTGCCTGTTTAGTTAGAGCTTTGGTGATGATATGACTAACAATCCCAATGGGACAAAACAGAAGACACAGAGAAACTGAATGCCGAGTCTCCAAATTGCTCTCAAGTCCATCGTAATAAACCTGTCTGATTGAATCAAAAGAGGCAAGTGTCAAAAACTCTCCAAACAAAACCCCAAGCACCCTGTCCCCCTCAAAGAAAAATGTGGGTATTTGTGTTCTATATTTCTATGTCACGTCAAAAGAGAGAGAGAGACCTTGCAGCGAATAGATCTACAGCCAACAAGTGAATCCATGCAGAAGCCAATGTCATCTCACTGGAGAACATCTTAGCTATACCAGGCAGCTGAAAAATCATATGTGAAGTTTTACGTTCAAAAACTAACTTTAACAGAACTCTTACGAACTATTACGCACCTCTGGTAGCCAGTATTTACTCGCAAACATCAGCCGAATTGTATCAGGTGTCCAGGATAGATAGAGTAGATAAGCATATAATATTCCAAGAATAACATATGGTATGCCATTTTCCATCAGTTTTTTCGTCTGCATATGGAAGAGAGAAGCACATTTGATCAATATTTGACACAAGGCATATCTCATGTTTTCAAGAAATATGCCGCTGGATTTAAATTGAAGCAACAAATTTCATCACTGTCAACCAATGTACGGGCGTAGAACATTAGTGTTATAATCATGACCCATGTATATATGAGAAAGGATACAATATTATCAAACTACTATCAGTTAGTCATTCATGTTGGGAATTGATGCCAATTCCCTTTAATTTTTCCGTAGAATCCTTGCTCATAGAAAAGTAAACGAGGCAGAAAATACATAAAAAGAGAAAAATTTGCAGACTGCCAATGCCTTCCACTATACGAAAAATTGTACAAATGAATAGATTTTTCACTCATCAAACCCCAAAAGTATCATAGAAAAAATAATATCCTAAGCTTTACCACACCCACCAATTTCTACTTTTTGAACAAACCACAAAAACAATAAGAAAAATCAGGGTTCTAGGCTTACAATTTTTTCCTCTCAAGAAACCGTCCAGTCATGTACCAAAAGAGAACAAACAACGTCAATTTATAAGGAACATTGCTATCATTTTTTACCAAAAATTTACTCTAATTCTGCCGTCAAAAGATATGCAAACCAAAGGAAGCTTTGCCACTTCCCTTACCTGATCAACAATAACGTTAGGCTTTTTATTATTTATTTATGTTCCAATCACCAGATTTGAACAAGTAAACTTCCACCTTATTTTCTTACCGTACTTCAATTAATACTATTATTTTGTTTAGGCATTTTTTGCGGAAACTTTCCCAACAATTGAAGAAAATGAAATAACTAGGTGACCTAGAATTCCTTTGCAATTTACAAATGAAAAACAACAGGAAAACTCCACTAACATAGAGGTGGTCAAATAGTAGCAATCAAAATAGGAACAGAAATACATAATAGAAGAAAATGAATTGGAATAAAAAATAGTTGACTTACAAACTCAGCTCTTGGCGCTACAACCATGAAAGTATAAAATGGAAGAACAGCAGCTGTTCCCAATGTAAAAGCACTACTAGCAATTTGAGCGCTTGGCAACCCTGCATGGAGACAGAAAATAGATGTCAATTTTGCCTTTATGTTCATTAGGTGCTAGAAGAGGTTACACGAGGTTAAAAACTAACGACATGTTTGGTGAGGTAGATTAGACAGTACTGGACAGTATTAAGGAAGAACAATAATAAAAATTTTGTGTATATACTATTGAATCTTGTTTAGTACTGTGAATCACAGCATCCTCTAAATGTATAACCACACCTTGACTCCTCAACAGGTCAAGGCACTTTGATGCTTGGCTCCAAGCATTAGTCAACAATTTAATATCCCACAGGCCATAAATAATGAAGAGAGTAAATTTTTTGAAGTCATGTATCTGATGACATCAGATGAACACTGACGATAGCATAAGATATATATTCCAGACTTAATTTTCTTTTTAGTAAAAACAGAGCACATCAGTATTCATCTTCAAGACCCAGGAGAATATTTAAACACGCAGTTTTTCAATTATCAAGCCTCAAAGAGGAGCATATTAAGAGTCAAGAGAATACTTACAAAATTACTTTGGACTTGTATATATACAACTTTTCCTTGCACAAGCCAATGAAGCAAATATTTTAGAGTTAATTCCAAAAGTTAATATTTTCTTTACAATTCAATTCAAATCTGGCATTCTATTAGACTTCAGCTCTGTTCAAATGTTCAACATAATTAAAGCACCCAAGAAGTAGAAAAACAAAATAGAGAACCCTGCATTGACAAGCTCAGACCTTTCAGTTCTCTGGGTGGAATGGATTCTTGAAGAAAGTCAATCAAAACCATATGAAGAAGGATTTTTATTTGAGTGAATAACAATAACAATACATTGTACAACCAAAGCTGCATTAATGTGGTAATTCTTTATTGAAGCTAATTCATTTGAAAGTTTAATAGTCCTTGTGATAAGAAAACCATTTCTTGATTGTTTTTTCATACATATGTTTCTAATTTATAATATGGAACCAGAACATAAATTCAGAATATCAAGTTCTCCTCAGATCAAAAGATGCTCCAGAAGAAACAAGGGCATACTTAGAAGTTCTATTTACAAAAGAAGGCAAATCATGAGAATAAAGCAATGTGAATAATTACATGAAGCATATACTGCCGAACGTTTTCTACACAGAACATTTCCTCCAAGACATGGTCTACTGATGGTTCTTGATCCTGCTACAAAACTCCATCCGATGCCTTGCTTCATGCCTATTCCCGCAACTTGTTTTCCAAACTTTTCGGAGTTAATGCTTTTAACAGAAATGGCGCATTTTGGTCTAATTTGGAAGTTACATGAGGTTTTGGAGCCCAATCTAGAGCGATCAATCTACAAGAAGTAGACCTAAAACTGTTACGGACAAATTATGTCAAACAGCAGTTAAATCATAAGGCGTGAGTAAGTGTGGAAGTGAAACTTGTTTAATGAAAGTTGCATACATTGAAGCGATTTAACAAATAACATATATTCATATGATTCCAGCATCACCGTAAGATGATAAAAGTGAATACCTAACTCCTAAATGCTATAATCTATTAGAAGTTGAACAGCATTTGAAAATTGAAGTAAATTTGGTGACGAAAGTTTCCCCACGTGTCCAAGTTCGCACAAGATGAGACTCCTAATTAACTTGTTTAATTTGTACCATTACATTTCATCAATCAATCTATTATTTTCTTCTATATCCCAATTATAAAACTAGAACCACCGAAAGGAACAGAAGAAGAATCAAAATATGGCAATGAAAGTAACTTCCTCGTTGCATATCCAAGGTTATTATTAACCAAATTCCTATTTCAACTAAAGGCAACATTAATCACCCAATTCTCTACCGAAAGCAACTTATTTGAATCTGCCAAAATCCTAAGCAGTTATCGGTAAATCACGAATTTAAGATAATTAATAGTATAATTGAAAACCACATTCAAGAATTGCAAAAGGATAAATGCATTAGAAAATTAGGAATTAAATCAAGAATTCCCAGATGCAGAAAATGAACCAGATACACATCAATTCAAATGGGCACCAATCCAACCAAAAGG